TCAGATTGAGTGGAAGCTGTAGGGTGGAATATTTGGAGCTGGTGCTGCTGGAGTTAGTTTAGAGTTGGGTAGGTTAGGAGAAACTTGAATAAAAGTTAACTCTGGGCAGCAAAGGCTTTTCACAGATGGTATCCAGGAGGGAACAGGATGGAAAACCTGCCAGCTGCTCCTGTGCTTTACTTTTCCCATATTTCAGTAGAAACGGGGGAAAAAACAGAAAACATTTGCTGAGCACATCGAGATGTCACAAGAAGGCATGAAACCAGCTTTGGGAAAATGTTAATTTCACAAATGTGATGTGTGTGTGTTTACAGCAGTTTAATGCTTGTACAAAGTGTTATCTTAGATTCCAGTCAGGGCAGTGGCAAGAGGAGACACATGGGAGGAAAACACAGAGGCTTGTGACCACTCATACAGCCCTGCCACGGGCAGGGAAAGGGGATTCCTCCACACCTTTCTCTCCCCTAGAGATGAGGAGATGGTTCTCTTTTCTCACTTCCCTTTTGCAGCGTTGATTTGGTGAGATGGGTCCCAGAGGGTTGGTAGGACTCTGTGGGGATTAAACGTGTGTATGGCAGTGGCATCCACGTTAACCAGAGCAGCCTTCGCAGCGAGGCTCACAGGCTGCACAGCACAGGCACCTGTGACTCTGGAGCTTTTACACTCAGGTGAATGAGTTGTTCAGTTATGGTTTATAATGAAGGGTTTTTTTTCCTTTTGGTCTCCTTGGAAATGATTGGCACTGGCTGCAGTTGCAGGGAGGCTGCTGAACTAAATTGGCATCTGGCTCAGGGCAGTGAATTCCCTGATTCTGCAGACTCCAGGAGATGAAATAGTGGCTCCATTGAGGGCGGGAGACTACAGCCAGAATTTTAACCATCTGTGTTTTCCAGGAGCATGGGAATTACTGCTCTTCTAGGCACATCTTTTTCAGAAATGGAGACAATGGGCCACAAATCTCAGTAATGCTGAGGCTGGGAATGCTGATTGAATGCACCACATTTGCATTAATGGATTGTTCATTCACATTCCTGCCATTGCTCTGGGCTTGGGTGAGGGGAAAGGAGAGACAAAAGCAAAGGAGAAAAGAGGGACAGAGTTGACTTCCCCACCTTCTCTGCCATTTGCATTGTCCTAGCAGGAATGAGGGGTTTGGGATGCATCTAATCCCTGTTATATGCATGTGAGTGCACTGTTGCTTATGTGTTCTCCTGCCTGTGTTTAGAGAACATTCCAAATGGAAAATCATCCTTCCTAAATTGAGTTTATTAACCTGCATTCTTGCTAGGTCAGTAGTATTTTCCTGTAGTGTCCTAAAATCGATACCTAATGTATGGGCACTGCCACAGAATGATTAATGTGTGTACAAACATGAAAAAATTGTCTTCAATGTCAGAAGCCCAAAGTGTCATTTATCATGACATTCATTTACCAAAAGATGGGCTGATGTCTTCAACTGATTGTCCTGCAACACATGGGTGAGGAGTGGGGGCTGCTTCCTCAATGAGGAATGTATCCTCCATCCTTGGAGGTGTCCCAAGCCAGGTGAGATGGGCTTTGGAGCATCCTGGGATAGTGGGAGGTGTCCCTGCCCATGGCAGGGGATGGCATTGGATGTATTTTAAGGTCCCTTCCAACCCAAACCATCCTGGGATTCTGCTCATCATTAGAACTTGTTGCTCAGCCTTCCTGATTGAAGTGTTTGGGAAATAGAAACCACTGAGAAAAAAGTATCAACTTTTTAAAAAGTTAACTTTGAAAATGTTTTTAAAAGTGTTTATAGTTTAACTAGACTGAATTGGCTTACATGGTAATGCCTTTAAAAATGATTATAGAAAGTTCAGGAAATGGTGACTTAGAAGTTGATAATTGGTATTTTGAAGAGAGCAGCTCTGTAATGGAAAGGTTCTGGGCTGGGAAATGAAAGGGTATTTTCTAGTGGCTCACTGCTGCAAGAGGTGTGCCAGCACTCTGAGACCTTCTCCTGGATTTATAAACAGATCTCCAAATTAATAGTAATTAAGGCCTGGATTTGGAGTGCTTTTTATAATGCATAGTGATTGTTTTGTGGTTGTTTGTTGGCTAAAGCAAAGGGTCCTCCTCCACAATGGAGGCTTTTAAGCAGTGCAAATTGCCAATAATTGTAGAATAAGAGAAAATTACTCTTTAGGACAAAATTATAGGCTAGGTTAAAATGTATATTTTAAAATGACACAGGACTATGACGAAATACAGGTTTTAGTGGCATTTAAGATGACTTGGAAAATGAACTGTAATTTCATTTCTAGTGAGTAATGAAACCATCTTGAATAAAGCTTATTTAACCTCAGTGGAGCACCTGCAAACAACAGAAGGCACAAGGTTTGTCTTGTCCAGGAATTGAACAGTACTTGTAAGGGATAAAAATTAAAGCATATTTGAGCTGTATGTGAGAAATTGCAGGGCTTCAGTCCTCCAGGAGTGTTCTGGCTTGTGCTTGAAGCCAGTGTGGGGCTGGCTGGGAGCAAAGACATGGCAACAGGTGAGGTGAAGACAGAAGTCATGGGGTCACCTGGATAAAGGAGGAGACCCAGGATTCCCTCCCAGGCTGGGGAAAGAACTGGCTTAATATGCAGGGCTCTTAATAAATGAGAATACTGAGAGAGATAAGAATCAGAGGTAATCATGAACATTTAATGGGTTCTGTCAAGAAGGAGATGTTCAGAAAGGACAGATGCCTCAGACTGGAGTTCAGAGGCTCAGGGTTAACAGCCTCAGCTGCAACAACAACCTGTTTACCCACCATGTTAGTGAGTGTGGCAAAGAGGAGACCTTGGTACCCTGGCTGTGACCTCCATGGGCCCACAGGAAGGATGAAATAATACTCCAGACTGACTAATGATGGGACTTGTGAGCACAGTGTGCAAAGTCAGGCAGATGCAAAGATACCTTGGGATTGTGCTGGGACAGAGGGATGGGTGATTCAGGAGAGGAGAAGGTTGCTTGGGTTCTAGGATTGATTGTGCAGAGCCACTGAGATGGTTCTGTCTTTTGGGAAGATCTTTTCAATACACAGAGAAGCAGTTTTGTAATATTTCTGTGGTTGTTTGTGATACTAAATTACTGTAGGTACTGGGGTTTGTCTTCCTGCCAGGAGTGCTTGGTGGGAGAGCAGGAGGCGTTTGGGGGTCAGTTGGAGCAAGGGAGGTTCTGACTGGGTTTAAAGAGGGAGTTCTGCTCCATGAGGTAGAACAAGTTGCCCAAGAGTTGTGCAGTCTCCACCCTTGGGATTTTTGAGGTCTGACTGGACAATCCCTCAGTAACCAGCTCTGACCTTGTAGCTGATTCTGCTCGGGCTGGGTTCCTTCCTTCCAAAATTATCCTAGCATTCTGCTTCTTTCAAGGTGAACAGAGTGTTAGGGGAATGAGGGAGAGAAACTAAAGATGGTGGCTTCATTAACCAGAAGGAAAGTTGAAAGAAAGAAGTTGGATTTCTTTGTTCCTGTGAATACCTTGGAGGGACTGATGGATAAATATCAAAGATGCAAAATAATACCAAAACAAAGTATTATTTGTTAACAAGTCAAGATCAAAGGAGTGCAAGTTGGTTGGAAGTACAGTGGGAGGGGAAACTAGAAACGGGAAGTTTCTCTGAGGAATTAAGGAATCCCCAGGTGGGACTCTGAGAGGGAAGAAAATATGTAACAGTTGGAGATGAACTGTACAGGGTTATGGAAGGAACTTGACAGGACAGAAGTGTTAGGAATATGTTAGCAATCTCCTCTGTTGGCATTCAGTCTGGCTGTCCTGCAGGGTTGGTCCTTTTGCTGATACATTCTCAGTGCATTTGTGATGGGTATTAACTGAGACTTGTGAAAATAGAGGGTTGAACTGTGGCAGATTTGATTCTGTCTGTGCAGAATACTTAGGATGGGGTGACTGTGGCTGGCTGTCCATCCAGCTGTGCCCTCGCTCTGCTCCTCAGCAGGATGGAGAGGAAATAATATTAAAGCCACTGAGTCAAGATGGGATCACTCCCAGTTACTGTAATGGCAGAACAACCTTGACTTGCAGAAAATTAATTTAATTTCTTGACAACTAAAATAACTTGAGTAGTAAGAAAAGAGAACCAAACTAAAGTGCTCTCGCTGCCTGCTCCCTGTTTTCCAGGTTCAACTTCATGCCTTCATTCCCAGTTCTTTAAGCCTCATGCTCTACCCTGATCTCCCCAGGGCGGCACCCAAAGCTGCCCTTCCTCCTCTCCCTCGTCATCCTCTGACCTGCCCACCCCAGGACTGTGTCTCACACTTCCATCACTGCTGTCCTGTGGTTTTCCCTGTCTTGCATGTGCCCCCAGCTTCACTGGCTGCCCCAGCTGTGGCTCCATGGAACCAGCTCTAATTGTGTCCCCAGCCTCTTCCCACAACTTCCCCAAGAGTTTGGCCTACCCAGCCCAACTGTGAAGCCATTAAGTGGTCCCTGGTATTTCTGGAGAACATTTTTATGGTAAAGGTGACATGGGTTGTGCAGCACTGCTGGGTCAGCTCTGTGGTATACCCTGGAGAAACTCCAGTCTTGGAAAATGTTCATATGCAAATATTTATCTCTATATTTACCTTGTGGCGCTGTAATTTTGTAGCTGGAGGTGGTAAGTGAAGGTGTTGTATAGGCTGTGTTGTAGAAGCTGTGGCTGCCCCATCCCTGGAAGTGTGCAAAGCTGAACGTGGCTTGGAGTGCCCTGGGGTAGTGGAAGGTGTCCCTGTCCATGGTAGGGAGTGGGACTGGATGAGTTTTAAGGTCGCTTCCAACCCAAACCGTTCCAGGATTCTGTGATTATTGGGTTTGTTTGCCTTTACACCATCCATGTTTAGCATTGTCCTGTCAGCTGTTAAGGTTTTTAAAGAGTTGGAGAGCAGCTTAACTTTTCAAAAACTACATTCTTGAATCTTAACTTGGACTTCTGAGCTTTGGCGTCACGGTCAGAACATCTCCCATTTGTCATGCTTTTATTTTTCTTGCAGGTCTGCCCAGGTTCACGAGCCAGCCAGAGCCCACATCCGTGTCCCGGGGCGGCAGCGCCGTGCTGGCCTGCGAGGTGACGGCGGAGCTGGCGCCGCTGCTGCGCTGGGAGCGCGACCGCCAGGCGCTGGCCCCGGAGCCGCGCCTGCTGCAGCTGCCCGGGGGGGCCCTGCTGCTCAGCAACGCCTCGGACGCCGACGCGGGGCTCTACCGCTGTGCCCTGGACACCGGCGGCACCCCCAAATACAGCGACGAGGCCGAGCTCAAAGTCCTGCCAGGTACCCCCTGCCGCTCCCGGGGCTCTTCAGGACACTGCCTGCCCGTGTTTAATGGTTCTGCTCTTAAGGCATCTTGGGGGAAAAGATGAAAAAAGCCACCAAGAATTAATGCACTTCCGTTGGGGTGTGAGACAAAGGGGGAACTGAGTGTTTGAGTATAAATGGGGACTTCTGTATTTTTTCAGGTTGAATCACATGTTTCAAACCCTGTGGGAGCTTTGCAAAGAAATTGATCTTTAGTCTGTCATTCTTGGGGTGCCTAAATAGAGGTGGTTTTATTTCTTCCCATATTCAGGAAGTTCTGACCATCTAAACACTGGGGCTTTTGGGGAAGTCTCCAACTCAGGGTCTTTGTCTGCAGGCCCTGAGTACTTCACAGTGGTTAGAAACGGGCTGCAGACACCCACAGATTGCCTTCCCATATTTAATGGTTCAGCTTTTAAGGCATTTTGTGGAAAGACTTCTTTAAAAAAGACCCCAGTAATACACTTCCATTGTGCCATGATACAAAGAGGGAATTGACTGTTTCTGTGAGTATAAAAGTTGGGCATTTCTAAGTTTCTCGGGTTGACTTTCATGTTTCAAACCCTTTGGAAGCTCACAAAGAAATTGGTCCTTAGTCTGTAGCTCTTGGGATGCTTAAGCTGAGGTGCTTTTAATTGTCCCAGTATTCTGGAAATTCTGACTGTCTAAGCAATGGGACTTTTTGGGAAATGTCCAATCCCCAGAGGAGGTGACATTTTATTTTGGAAGGTTCGGCTTTGCCTGTTGTGCTGAAATGTTGAGATATTTTTGTTAGAACAGAAGTCCAGTGCTGATGTAAACTGTTGGCACATTCAGAGTGTTCTGTTCCCAGTGACACCACCAGCTGTTCTAATACAAAGGTTTGAACAGTGACCAAAAAACTAGGACAGGAATGTGGGTCATGCTTTCCCAAACCAGGGAAATGCAGGCTGTGTTTCATGTGAGGTTCTTAATTGTTCCCAGCACTGTCTCTTCTGGATTAGTCTCCATTTTAGAATTCTCATTCAGTTGTTACTCTTGGAGAGCTGCTGGAGGGAGTTACTGAGTTTCCATCTCGGGAAACTCTCAGGGTTAGGATGGACAATGTTATGGTTGGCCTGACCTGGTGTGGGCAGCAGGTGAACTTGAGGCAGGTGGAGGCACCTTCAGGGGTCTCTTTCAGGAATAGTTCTGTTTCATGTGACTATGGCCATTCTCTACTTAAAATACTAAATTATTCTGTAAAATACCCCAATTTTTGCAATTGTAGCTCTCTTTTGAAATTGGGGTGTTGGAAATGAATAATTTTTTCAATGACTATTCGTTCAGTATAATTCAGTTCTTTAGCCTTTGCAAAGTCTTGTCTCTTCTCCAACTAAGGATAGAGGGTTTGAAGAAAAGCACTTTTGGAAAAGATGCTTGATTGAATTCCTATAGTTTGGATTGCCTTCATGTTTCTGCAGCCCTTCAAATGCTGTGGATTTTGCTGATTGTTTCAGAAACTGAAGATTTCTTGAAAACTTCCATATTACACTGATCTTTTGAATTCTTTTTGGCTCCATCTGTAGTTTCCTTGCTTTTGTAATGCTTTGCTGAAAGTGATGAAGTAGAGCTGTGTTAGGGAATTCAGATGATTCTGTTTCTTTGCTCCATTATGAGTCCAAAAGTATCGATAGTGAGGTTTGGTAAAATCCCTCCCAGCAGGCTTTTTTTTAGAAAGTGGGATTAAGCTGTTGAAGGGAAAGCTCCCTTAGTCTTGAGCGGCCCTGTAATTGATTGTTTGGCCTGAGAAGTATTTGAAAGAAGGATTTGAATTAATCTGTTCTTTATTCAGTTTATTCCCCTTTTAAATGGTTATCTGATGTGTGGCTGACAGTGAACCCACCACTGCTTCCCAGGCTTTGAAACACACCCAGCACACTCCTGCATCCCAGGGATTTGCATCCACAGACAATGTTCTGCTGCTCTAACGTTCTGCTTTGTCTGCTACCAGGATGCCACTGAGCAGGAAGATGCATTTCTGAGCTCTGCCACTTATAGTGGGTGCTTTCAAACACAGGACTGCAGGGCGAAAATGCCACTTAATTTTGGGATCCCGTTTCCGTTTACCTGTGAGCTGAGCTCCCTTCTGGGAGCTTTGAGCAGTTGGGGTCGTGTCTCCAGGGAATCATTCTGGCTCCTCTGTGTGTAAGGATGGCTGCCTGGAGCTGTTGTATCCGTGCTTTGCAGCCTGGCTGGCTCCACGTGCTGCTCCAGGTCCCTGTCATTTCATTATTCCCCATGCACAGCAGGGCAGGCAGAGCAGTTCCTGCCAGGAACGTGGGCACAGCCCTAGGGGTGGGGCTGGCTGATCCAGAACTGCTCACAGCGTGGCTGCCTCTGCCTGTGCCAACTCCCACACGGGATTTCCACCTGTTCTACTTCCCCCAAATGTCCTGGCACCTCCTCGTGTTGTGCCTTGGAGCTCGTGTGTGCCCTGAGCTCAGTACTTGGTGTTATTTTTAGTGTTTTGAGCTGAAGAACACCAAAACAACAACTTCCTGAAATCCCTGTGAGTATCACCTCGGGCCCAAGTGAGAGAGCAGCCAAATATATGTGTGATGAGACACAGAATGTGCTTCATTCAGGGAGCAGAGTAGATACAGAATACTCTGTCCCTGTTTTAGGTGACCAGAAATGGTTTCAGGCCTTGTCCAGTTGTGGAGCTTTGCTGCCATAACACCTCCAAACACCCCTCAGAGTGCTGGCAATGCAGGGATTAGTGCAGGGTGAGCAGGGGTTACTCAGCCCAAACTGCAGCTGCTCTCTACAACTCATTTCCTCTGAGTACAGTGCAGGGCACAGAGGGTGCACACTGTAGTAGGGACTGAATAAGCATGCACTTGGCTTGTGCTTCTTCTTAAGGGTGGGAAGAAAAAGGGACAAACACCCCTCTCCAGCTTAATCCAATGCAAAACTACTTCAGAGGATTGTCATGGATGGATGGATGGATGGGTGGAAAGCTGTGATGGGGCATTTTTGTTCTGTGTTACTTCAGTATGCACATTCCTTGGTTGTTGTATTTTACCTGGGGTCAGTCACTGCTGCAATAATTTTAATTTTCCAGTGTGTAAAAGCACTTCCTCATGCAGCTCCCTGATGAATCCCAAGGCTTGCTGGACAAACTCAAATCTGTTCCTTTCTTTCCTAAATCTCTGCTACCTGGTGGAAGTTCCAGTTTCAGGGCTGTAGTTTTAAGCTGAAATAGTTTCCCAGGGAGTTGGAAGAGAATCCCAAAAGCGGGGAATCACTTTGCATGTCTGGAGGAAAATGGTAGCAATGCTGGGAGAGGCTCTGACAGAGGCTGTGGGTGAGGTGGGGATGGAATCCTCGAAGGGCAGGAAAGGAATGCAAGGTTTAAGTTGTGCTTTTCTTTGACTGGTTGGGTTTTGGTTCGGGGGGGGTTTGGTGGTTTTTAACATGAGCATCTTGTGTTTTTGCACGTGGTGGCAGCTGTGTCCTGTGGTGTTTGCAGATGCGGAGGAGCCGCAGAGGCTGGCGCTGCTGAGGCCGCCCTCGTCCCTCACGCGGCTGCGGGGACAGAGCGCCCTGTTCCCCTGTGTCGCTGCAGGCTTCCCTCCTCCCCACGTCCGGTGGACAAGGAATGAGGAGGAGCTTCCCACAGATGGGTGAGTAATGGCTGACAGCCCTGGCTGTGTCTCATGGCAGGATTCCCGCTGGAGTCGGGATTTGGGATCAGTGCACACCTTCCTTTGGGCTTGAAACCTGGAGAGCAGAGGCTGATCCCAAATGCTGGGGAGCTCAAGGCTCGGTGTTGGGATGAGGGAGGTGGTTCAGGACACCTTGGAACAGTCTCAGGGTACCAGTTTGAAGCCAAGAAACCTTGTGTGAAGCAGCGAGGTTATTAAGAATAGATTACTTTTAGACTGGCACTGGAGTAGAAGCAGTAATTGAGGGAATAAGGACACTGCAGGAAAAGGAGGATGACTTGGGGTATTTTGAGTGTCAAGCCCTGCACTCATTCTTTCTGCAGTGGAAATGCCCACCGAGTGTCAGAATGTCCCACAGGAATTGACGAGTAAGTGTTTAAAGCAAAATGACACATTTTCTCATTAAAATAGAATATTGAAACAGTAGGCATGATGGCAAAAAAATCAGTGAGCTTTCCGAGATGTTTCAAGTGAAAACTTACACGTTGTCATTGCTGGTGTAGTCAGAATAATGTGGAAGGAAATCAGTATAAAAAAAGCACAACAGATCTTATAAAGCCCTTTTTTGTCCATATAATGAACGTACTTCCTAGAACCAGGATTGCAAACAGATATTTGAATGTTTTCCATGTCCCTCGAAGTCAGCAGTGAGATTAATGGGGAGCCAAGTTAATCATGGAACAAGGAGAGGTAAATTGTGGTGTGGCTGACACAGAAAGCAGTCAGAACAATGCTCAAGTCTCTGCAGCACCAGGGATATAATATATCTCTTTTTTGGCAACTCTTAAATTAAAAGATTCCAGGGGCTGCTTATTTGAACTGTCTTTGATGGGAGGCTGCTGTGGGAAATGACAAACAGCCTCTGAGAGATGGTGCTGTGTCAATGTGAAGGCACATGATTTAAATTCAGGGGTTTTTATAAATATAAGAACTCACTCCCCCTATGAAAGCTGGTACAGACTCATTAGGGTGGCACAATCAAATGGGAAGAAATGGCAGAATAAATGTGCCTGGTAAGATCTGATTTTGTTTTTCTTGTATGTAAAGTGATGTCACGTCATGTCTTCAGCAAGTTTTGTTTCCCTGTCCTTCTCTAGGTTGTGGCACATTCAGGGCCCAGGGAGGTTAAAGCTCTCCTTTTATTTTCTTCATTTTTGAGATATAAAGCCCAGTTTTTCCCACTGAATACAGTGCTGTTAATTCCCTTTGGAATTCTCTTCCCTCATTCCATGAGGTTACCATGATAACTTCTTAGGGCTTCACAGGTATTTTCTTTTTCTCATAATTCAGAGTGAGAAAATGTTCTGGAGGACTGGAGCATAGCATTAGTAAGTGTACTTGATCTTCAAATGTACACAATTTGAACCAAGTCTGACCTGATTTTTCAGAATATTTAGCATTAGTTTTTAGTGTTTTGGCCCTTTGTTACAAGAGCAGGTTCCAGTGGACTTTTTTTCTTCTTGCAACACTTAGCTCTTCTTTTCTTAAAGTGAAACGTATGCTCTTCATTGTAGGCTCGAGTTTTAAGGTAGGTAAAGGTAAAAATTTGATCTTTTTCCCTTTTATGGGGTAAACTTTTTTCATTGTTCCTTCAAGTGATCAAACTGAGCCAAAGCTCCCAAGTCTGCTGCTTGTCTGTGGCTGAACAGGGCAGAGATTCAAAGAACAGAGAACAGAAACCTCTTAAACTCCATTTACCCTCCAGCTATTGTGTTATTGGTGTGAATAGAATAACTGGAAAATCTCCAGAAATGAAGATTCTTTGTTAGAGAAAAGCCTGCAGTTACTATTGCTAAATAGCTACCTTAGCTTGTTATGCATGGTCTGTTAATGTAATTACAAATTAAATCACATTTAATTTGTATTAAAATCCCCTTTTGATATAAAAGTACGACTTTCTTAGTGTGGCTTTTCTTTATCCCAAGAAAAAACTGATTCTTTTCATCTGAGCAGGATTTCTGCCTGGGAAAAGCTCTGAAATCCCAAGTTTGTTTATGCACACTCCCACCCCAAACATTAACATACATATATGTAGGTATAGCCATATATAATGAGATTTCTCTCTGTGTGTCTGGGCTTAGAAAACAAAACTCAGACAGCATGGGCAGGTTATCCCTAATTTTGACCCCTTGTTAGAAGGTTTTATGTAAAACCTTATTTTTACTTTTGTCATAACTGTGGTAATTAATTAATGCAAAATAGAATGTTTGCCTTTTGAGTTGTATTCCTACAGGGAATATGGATAGGAGCCCGTATTTATAGGAAAATAGATGAATTTTAAGGATAGGGAGTAGTGGGGTTTTGGTATTAAATATTTGTTGTAAGATCTGGAGAAAAGGGAAGGTGATTAAATTTGATGGATTATTTGTTGAAGACTGCAATAAGATTTATGTTAATGGATAAATATGAGTAAACTTGAGTGATGGCAGCCTTGGCAGTTGTTCAGACAGCCTGTAATGCAATATATTGTGAAATTAGTTGCTGTGATAAAATATTTTCCAAATTAATTATAGTGTGAGAGAAGGAGACTTTGGGTGTTGGGTGAGAAACTGAAGTTAACTCAGTGCTCAAGTTTCCATTGGAACAAGGCTGTTAGAACGCCAGGGAATCCTTCTGAACTCACTCACTTGAAGATTTTTAAAGAAATCTGATGGAGAGACTGCTGACTTCTTGGTTCTCCATAAAGAATGCCACTAAAGACTAAAGCTTTTCCTTGAATTGGTTTGCAGGTCCATCTTGTAATCTTCATATTTTATAGCTTTCCCAAAACTCCACTGTCTGTAAAGAAAGGAAAAGACTAAACCCTGCTCTAGATTGAGATGTAGCTCCAGTTTGGAGCTCTAGGAAGGTTCCAGCCTTGTGTGATCCATGGTGGAAGGTGGGGACCTGCTTGGTCTTTGCTCTTGGCACATGGACAGACATCATCCGTGGGCTCAGCATTGGGATTATCCTCCTGCTTTTCCAGCTCTTGGCTCCATGGGCTCTGAGTCAGTACTGCCTCTGCCAGGAATGTGGAGAATGCTGAGGGAAATGGAAGGAAGCAGGGAAGGCACTGAAGTGTGAAGTTATTGGAATAAATCTTAGGCTATTTATGGAAAACTTCCTAAAGTAAAATCTGTGGTGTCAACATTGCTTGGTACAAAAGGTGAGAATGGAGGTGTTATATTCAGGCTGAGTAGCTGTTCAGGTCTGAGCCAGCCTGGAGCCTTTCTTACCTAGTGAATATTTTTTATTTCAGTCTCTGGTCTGGCTGAGGAATCTGCTGTGTGAAGGGTTCTTCAGCAAGTGCAGGAGTCACTTTGTGCTTTTGACAATTCCTAACTTGGAAAGGGAAGTTTCAGATGACTGCCCAGGTAGATTTGTCCTCAGAGTTTGGGACACAGGCACAGAGAAGTATCTGGAAGATGATCTGCTCTGGAAACTTTGCAGTGTGTGGATCAGTGTGTGCTCCAACAGCATATACTGTGTATCTTCATTTATATGGGACATTTCTGGCAGAGAAGGAATAAATGCAGGTGCCACAGGTTCTGAAAAAACTGCAGTAGATGAGATGGTTCATCTGAAACTGAACCATGGAAAGGACTCGAGCAATAACTGTAAAGTCCAGCAAACTCTGCAGCAGGTTTGCTTCAGGCTCATTTTAGCAAAATTTCATGTAATTGAAAAGCTCCTGCAGAAACGTGGTTGTACAGGTAATACTTTCCTACAGTGAGGGGGTGAGAGCTGAGGGCACTTGTGCCATGTTCATTTCTGCTCTGCTGTCTGTGCTCACATGAGGTCTGTGATTGTATGATCACATCCCTAATGCAGGGTTTTCCTTGGTGCTTCCCACAGATGTGTGATATTGCCATTATTACACATTTCTGTTTGCAGGGTTCTGAGTGATTGGTACCAAGTGAATTACACTTGCCCAGCTCAGGAAAGGTTAAGCATAGCTGAGTAATTATGGAGATTTTTCTGTAGTAGATTCCACAAAATAATCTAATTTACTGTCTAATTTTATCTGCTGTACTTACTGAGACAGCAAATAGATTATAAGATGTTTGGGGAATAGTAATTTAAAAGGGGGAAAAAAAGCCCAAACCTCAGGGTATAACTGACAATTTGACTACAGTAAATTAATAAAGGCTCACTATATTTAGTGCTAATGAAACACAAAGAGCCTGTGAGTGAGGCATCCAGAATAGCTCAGTAATTGTATGTTAGGGGGGTGCAAGTGAAGGCTGTATGGAATGCATACAAAAGGCTGGAATTTGATTTTCCTCTTCCCTGACATATGAGTGATCAATCTTTGTTGTTTTTAATGGCACTTCAAATTATGTTATCACTTTTATATTAAGCTGATTCTTTGTCTCCAGTGTCTGAAATCCGATTGCTTCACTCTTTTGTGAAAATGCTTCATTGTCCTTACAAAATTAAGATGTTTTGCTTTATTACAAAAGCAGCTTTCTTTTAAGCCCAGGATTTTAAGCCCACAGCTGATTCATACAGAGGGAATCACCAAGGAATCTGGCACATTAATTGTTTTCTTCCGTTAAACTTCTACTGAATCACCTATTAGGAAATTGAACTCAACCCTTGGTTTTCTGGAGGAAAATAATCAAAGGGAATATAAACATGGCACAAGTTGAGATGGCTGAACAGGAGAATTCCCATAAATATTCTGATGCTACAAGTAGTTTGTGAGGTCCCCTAGGACAAACTCAAGTGACAAAGAGGAATAGTTTTTAATAGTTTTAGTAACATCTTAATGCTGTCATAACTTTTCCAGAGGCTGGCAGTGGGAAAGGAGCATCCTAAGGCACGTGTTGTTTTTGGAGGGTAACAATGGATATCCTGGAAAAGGCATTAATGTCCTCAAAATGCCACGGACACGCCGATGGCCTTTGATCATTCCTTCAGGATGTGACAGTCACAGTTCTTGGGGCACAGCTCCTTCCCTGCTCCATGCCCCGCTGTCCCTGGCAGATCCAGCTCCCTGCTTTCATTGCAGCCCTCAGCACATTCCCTGCTGCAAGAACAAAAAGTCAAAGCAGCTCTTTTACATAATAAAAGAAGGCAGAAAATTTCATGGATGGATGTGTCAAGGTCCAGGCTTGTCTTACTCCAGTGTTTTTCTTTAGGCCTGGTTTTAGAGCTTGTCTGATGTGCCATTCCCACGCGAGCCTGGGACATTTTTCCCAGCATTTGGGAAGCTCTTAATTTGATTTTTCAAACTCATATCTTCACTCAAATTCCTTGCACTTCTTCCAAGCTAGCCTTTCTGTAGTCCTGGTGTTTCTCACAGGAACAGTATGGCTTTTCTTACAGAACACCTGGATAGGGACATCTCTTTGGATGCTTTTAACACTTAATGCCAATTATGGTTTTGTTTGCTCTGCTTTTAAATTTGATCAGCAGTTACAGTAGGATAATAAATCAATAAATAATAGTGTAAGATGAGGCAAAAGTCTGTATCCCAACAATTTACTTGTCTAAGCAGGTCAGGATTGGTCTTACTAATGTAATTCTAGGAAAATTTTAAATGGAGAAAGCACCGAGGTTGATTTTTGTCCACTGGCCATTCCAAACAGAGACCAAAAAATGCAATCGTTGTAATGCTCATATATTGACAGAATTCAGTCCCTTCCTGCCCACAAGCCACAGTTTGAGATGCCAGGCAGGAAGCCACCAGGTTCCTTTCCCTTTCCCCCAGACCCTTCCTTTTCCAGCTGCAGACAAGAATGGCTCTGGGTCAGCATCCAGACACAACTTGTTGTTCTGGCTTAAGGTTCTTGGCATCTTATTGGGAAGTTTATTTGGTATTTTATGTGGATATTTGGAGTGTTGAAGGAACTTGAAAAAGTTGTGTATACGGTGTGTATCAGAATTTGTATCAGGTGAAGGGCAGTAATGGCTGCAATGGGAGGAGGATGTGGCTGGAATCTGAGGATGCTGCACTGAGCATGAAGTGCCCATTTAGCAGCAAAAGCAGATAGATTGTAAGGACTGGATTAGAAACCTTTCTCTACCCTTTACAAGTCAGAGGGGGAAGTTCTGTATAGACCCTTTGTCACCTGATGAATCTGTATTTTGAATTTCTTTTAAACTGTATCTTATTCTGAAATACTTAATCTCTCAGAGATGGCTTACCTTTTCACAGAAATTCAATTCCTGTACATTATATAATGTGCATTGTTGTCCTTGTGTTGCAAAGGCACAGTCTCTCCTGTTGTACTTCCCTCAGCTCTCCAAGCAGTCAGTCATTCCAGCTGGATCTGCAAAATGCCTTTTTAAAAAATTGTGGTTACTATACCTCATTTTCTTCAGTTCTGGCTGCTTTTGACTAAATGCCTTGGATCACATTTAATAAAGAGCAAGTGAAGATGCAAGTGCAACAAGATGAGCTGCTCTTGTGGAATTGATCAGGTTGAACTCAATTTTCAGTGTGGGATGTGATGGTGTAATTATAATCCTCAGTGTCCCACACTGGGGTG